TAAATGCTGTTTATTTATAAGAGCTGCACTTTAAACATGAAGAAAAGGTAGATTAAAAATAGAAAGGCAGGGGCTGGCATTGTGGCAGAGTGGATAAAGCTGCTGCCTGCAATTCTTGCCTCCCACGTGGGTCTGGTTCATGCCAGAGCTATTCCACTTCTGATCCAGCTCTCTGCTGATGACCTAGAAAAAGCAGCTAAGGGTGACCCAATTGTTTGGGCCCCTGCACACACATGGGAGACCCAGATGAAGCTCCTGGCTCCTGGTTTCAACCTGGTGTAGCCTTGACTGTTGTGGCTATTTGGGGAGTGAACCAGCTAATGGAAGATCTCTCTCTCTCTCTCTCTCTCTCTCTCTCTCTCTGTAACTCTTGACTTCAAATAAAAATGAGTAAACATTCAAAATAGAAAGGCAAAGGAGGATGTAGCATGCAAAATTAATCATCAGAAAACTGATGTTGTGGGCAAATTTGTGTTCCTCCAAAATGTTTATGTCAGAACTCTTAACCACGCTGTGACTATTTGGATATAGGGCTTTCAGGGAGGTAATTATGGTTTAAAAAGGCCATAAGAGTGTGGACCTGATCCAACAGAACTGTGTTCTTAAAAGAAGAACAAGTCAATCTCTGTCTCTCTCTCTGTGCCTTTCTCTCTCAGCATACCTAGTGGTAAGGCTATGTGAACACCTATCAAGAAGATAGCCATCTGTAAGTCAGCAAGAGAGACCTCACCAGAAACCAAACATGCCGGTGTCTTGATCTTGAACTTGTAGCCTTCAAAATGTAAGAGAATAACTTTCTTTCTTTAAGCATTTATTTAATGAATGCAAATTTCATTGGTACAACTTAAGGAATATAGTGTTTCTTCCCCCCATACCCACCCTCACACCCAGAATGGGATGGGAGAGGGGGTAGGAGGTGGTATGGGCTTTGTTTTTTAATCCAGTGTGTATCTTTTAACTGGAGAATTGAGGCCGTTTACATTCAAAGTGACTGTTGATAAGTAACAACTTTGCTCTGCCATTTTCCCATAAATATTCCTATCTTTTACTTTGGATTTACTTTGTAGTTTTACTGGGAGATTTTCTTCTTTTACCTTCTTTCATGGTGATGACCTTATTTTTGTGTTTCTGTGTGCAGCACATTCTTAAGCATCTTTTGCAAGGCTGGATGAGTGGTGACAGATTATTTCAATTTCTGTTTGTATGGAAGGTCTTTATTTTACCTTCATTCATAAATCAGAGCTTTGCAGGGTACAGTATTAAGTCTTGTAATATATCTTGCCATTCTCTCCTGGCCTACAGGGTTTCTGATGAGAATTCTGCTGTGAGTCTATTTGGAGATCCTCTGAAAGTAGTCTTGTGTTTCTCTTGTGCACATTTTAGAATCTTTTCTTTATGTTTTACTGTAGAGTTTTACTACTATGTGTCGTGGTGAAAATCTTTTCGTGTCATGCTGATTAGGAGTTCTATGTGATTCCTGTATTTGACATCCCTTTCTTTTTTCAAATTAGGGAAATTTTCTGTAATTATGTCACTAAAATGGCCTCTTTATCTCTTTCTATACCTTCAGAAACTCCTAGGACCCATATTTTGGGTTGTTTGATAGTTTCCCATCAATCTCCAACACTGTTTTTAGTTTTCTAATTTCTTCTTCTTTTCTTTGGTCTGATACTAAAATTTCCAAAGATTTGTCTTCTATCTTGGATATTCTTTCTTACGCTTCACTGAGTCTGTTCTTAAGGCTTTCCACTGCATTTGTTGTTTGATCTATTGAATTCTTCATTTCCAATATTTCACTTTGATTTCTCTTTAAAATCTCAATTTCAAAGGAAAATTTTTCATTGATGTCATGTATGAATTTCTTTAATTCTTGGATTTGTTTCTGATTACTTCTAAGTAATCCTATAATTAATTTTTTAAATTCTGTTTCTGGTATTTCTTTAATCTCTTCATCTTCACATTCTAGTATAGAAGTGTTGTTGTGATTCTTTAGTGGTGTCATGTTGTCTTCCTTATTCTTGTTTCTTGAATTGCTATGTTTATTTTTAGGCATTTGTGGAGATACTCGTTTTTGCTTTATTTTTCCCTGTGATGACTTTTATCTTTGGACTATGCCTCCCTGCTTAGTGGAGTGTCTGCTCTTTCAGTGAATACCCAGAAGCATGTGCTGGGTGTGGCCAGGGAGCCCCACTCTGTGCTCCAGGGCAAGACAGTGCCCAAGGTGACACCCAAGTGGGGTGTGTTAAATACTTTTCTCTCTCTCAGGATTTATTTATGTATTTGAAAGGCATAATTACAGAGAGGCAGAGAGAGAGAGAGAGAAAGAGAGAGAGAGAGGTCTTCTGTCTACTGGTTCACTCCCCAAATGGCTGCAACAGCTGGAGCTGGGCCAATCCGTAGCCAGGAAGTAGAAGTTTCTTCCAGGTCTCCCACGCAGATGCAGGGGCTCAGGGACTTGGGCCATCTGTACTGCTTTCCCAGGCCATAACAGAGAGCTGGATCTGAAGTGGAGCAGCTGAGACTCGAACTGGTGCCCATATGGGATGCTAGCATTGAAGGCAGTGGCTTTACCTGCTACACCACAGCAGTAGCTTCTCTCTTTTTTGGTTTAATCAGTTCTGTTGGCATAGTCTTATGCTCACCTTCTCTCCTCCAAGGATGCTAATGCCTGGACGCTAGCCCCAGTGGGTAGAGTATTAATCTGCACTGCCTCAAGAACCACACCAAGTATCTGTAGTCTTCTGTGTGAGCACAGATCCCACAGCAGTGACCCTCACCAGGGAATCAGGGAGCCCCTAGCATGTGGAGCCATCCACAGTGACTGCCCGTAGACTCAGCCATACCCCATGTCCTCCCACGCAGCCACAGTGTTTTCACAGCCCCAGCACACAAGGCTCCCATGGTCATGAGCACCCAGCCCCCTGGCAGGTCTCCCGTCCAAACTCAGGTGTCTTTTTTCAGCTGGTTGCTGGGTGTGTGGGCATGAGCTGGCACAGCTTGTATGTGTATCTAAAATGGCACCTGCCCTCTCTTGGGTAGTTACAGGACATTGGTGCCGGGTGGTTGGGAAGAGAGAAACATGTCCCCTCTTCTTCCTTCTAGGTTGGCAGGTACACTGTATCTTACAGGGCTCCAAGCCCAGCTCAGGCCAGGCTCTTCCCACAGTTTAGCACCGGTGACTTGGGCTGCTGCAGTCCGGTCTCACCTCACTCTCCAAAGCTGGTGCTGAGGCCCTCGGGTGCACTTGTTTGGAAAACCAGACCTCAGTGTCCATTCATGGTGATCCTGATTCTTGTGATTGTGTTTTTGACATCTCCCCTTCCTTTGAGAAGATCATTATTCCAAGAAAATTAATTAAATCCTACACAGAGCCAGACACAACTAAATGCTGGGACCAAGGCAGATGGGCAGGGAGCTGCCTGTTTTCCATTCCGTCTGCACATTGGTGTTCACACTCACCCCACATTTACACTCACACATGCACTCACACATACACACACGTGAATGCTCACCACATAACACCATCATACTGATATCCATGCTCATACACAATCCAACCTACTGATGCAAGTATGCACATTGATGCATGAACCCATTCCACATATGTAAACTTGCACACACACGTCTTCACACATGTGCCTGCACATGCACACCTTCGTATACTCCCATATCACCACAGACTAAAGCATGTGTCCATACTCACACAAATACTCATGCACATGTTCACATCATATCAACACATATGCAAATCCACCTACAAGCACTGAACTCTATGTGTATACTCATAGTCAGTAATTCACTATGTCATATACATACTATGTGCATGTATGCATCACACAGGTGCAAATCCCCTGCCATAACCTATCTGCACACACCCCACAGACACCACACAGATGCGCACTCAGGATTGCAAACACTGAGTGCACCTTCCTGGAGCACCCTTCTGTCCTGAGGCCTTCTTGACAGCCAGCCTTCCTTTGTCAGAGTGCTGTGTCCACTGGGGAGAGGCTGAGTGACCTGGCTGTGTAGAGCACCGAGGGTGTGAAGTTAGAACTGTTGGACAACCTCTCTCTGATCTCAGTGCCTGGACAGCTCTGTGCTTCCTGCCATTCTCACATTCATTTCAGCCCTAGCTCTACTCTCCCTGGGTTTCTAACCTTTTCCCTAACTTTAGAGTCATAGTTTGGTGTCTAGGATGTTCTCCCCAAATTTTTTCCCAATAAGCAAATGAATAAAGAGATGAAATAATTAGAGCAGCAGTCTTGGGTAGAGACTGGGTGAGTTTCCATTACAGTGTGTGTGTATCAACTCTTTAATCCTGAAACTGTGGAATTACATGATTAGGAATGCCAAGATAAAAATTGTTGAATAATTTATTTTCCACACATGCTATATTTTAATTATGATAACATTTTTACTATTCATATTATTTTGAGCATAGAATATATATTCTAAAAGTGCTAACTTAATAATAACATCCTTCTTTCCATCTCTATAAAGATTTGTTACTTAATTGAAAGGCAGAGTTACAGAGAAGTAGAGGCAGAGAGAGAGAAAGGTCTTCCATCTGTTGGTTCACTCCCCAGATGACTACAATGGCCAATGCTGGGCCGATCTGAAGCCAGGAGCTTCTTCCAGGTCTTCCATGTGATTGCAGGGGCCCAAGGATTTGGGCCATCTTCTGCTGCTTTCCCAGGCCACAGCAGGGAGCTGGATCAGAAGTGGAGTAGCTGGAACTGAAACCGGCACCCATATGAGATGCTGGCACTGGAGGTGGTGATTTTACCCACCTTGCCACAGCACTGGCCCATATTTTATATTATTTTAAAAAAAGATTTATTTGTTAGAAAGAAAAATCTTCCATCCGTGAGTTCATCCCCCAAATGGCAGCTGTGCAGGGGCTGGGCCAGGCTGAGACTGGGAACCAGGAGCTTCATCCGGGTCTCCCATGTGGAAGGTAGGAGCCCACATACTTAGACCATCTTCTGCTGCTTCCTCAGGTGCATTAGCAGGGTGCCGAATTGGAAGCCGAGCAGCTGGGACTGGAACAGGCAGCTGTATGGAATGCCAGCATTGCAGGTAGAAGTTTAACTGCCCTGTAATGCTGGCCCTTTGTCATCTCTTAAAATTTAAATTAAGGATACATTTAGGATGAGTTTTCACAAAGCTCATTTTACCTTATAGGATCATGCCAGTTAATGCTGGGGAAAACATAACAGAAAATGTTTTCACAAGTCACTGAGTGCACATTTCTGACGTTGAGGAAAGCTCAGTCTCTCACTGCTCGGCCAGCCCCAGGGTACAGGGTGTTGAGGAGGAGAGGGTGAAGAGAGCCAACTGTCTAGCCTGAAATCATCGCTTGTTTATCACAAGGAACGATGGAGGCTGCGGCTGCCCGGTGCGTTCTGGGCATTTTCACTGAACGGGGTCAACGGCAGCGCCTCGTTTTGTCCTCCTCCTTGTCCCACCTGACGTGCACACGAGAGCATCGCTTTCTTCCCTGCACACAGTGAGCGCCTGCTCAGCGGGGCTCTGCAGCCACACTGTGAGTGAGACCTGTCCTGGCGTCTGCTTCCCCAGGCCCTCCCTCGCCCCGGGCAGTGGTGAGGTCAGTCGTGGTCAGGTCTGCTTCTCCAGCCCTTCCTGTCAAGGCCCAGACTCACGTTTCCGTTGTCTTCAGTCTGCGCTCTGCGATCTCATCAGATCAGATGTTTGTAACGCTTACCTCTTCCTCCTCACTCCAGAACCGTGGCTTCTCTGAGAGCCCCTCAGATGAGACATAGCAACGTTCTTCCCTGGCTCCCAGCATCGAAATCCTGCTGTAACCCTGCCAGCTCTCCAGCCCTGCCGCATTCCGCTGGGCGCTGCTTCTGTACCCAGCACACAGCACAAGGCCCCACACGTGGCAAGTGCTGCAAGAACAGTTTGCCGAGAACAACTGGACACTGGAAACAGCATTTCAGAGCAAGATAAAGGTGACAGCGTGGTGACGGGCGGTGTTGGTTTCCGTGCATGAAGGATGGAAAACACAGATTTGGAGTTTAGTTGCAAGGTGTTGTGCAGGTTTCTCTCTGGCCCACCAAGTTTCTCCAGTGTAACAAAACCAACAATTTGTCTCGTGAGACAGCTATAAATTCTGTCACTTGCCCTGACTAGAAAGTGCAAAGTATGAAAGTTGAGAAACTGCACATTGGCTACGCTGGTGCTGTGTCACTGTTTATCTGAGTGGGAGCTGACTATAATATATATTACAAATAGGTTATCTCAGGCCGGCGCCATGGCTCACTGGGTTAATCCTCCGCCTGCGGTGCTGGCATCCCATATGGGCGCCGAGTTCTGGTCCTGGTTTCTCCTCTTCCAGTCCAGCTCTCTGCCGTGGCCCGGGAGGGCAGTGGAGGATGGCCCAAATGCTTGGGCCCCTGCACCTGCATGGGAGACCAGGAGGAGGCACCTGGCTCCTGGCTTCAGATTGGTGCAGCGCCGGCCGTAGCAGCCATTTGCAGGGTGAACCAATGGAAGGAAGACCTTTCTGTCTCTCTCTCTCTCACTGACTGTAACTCTACCTGTCAAATAAATTAAAAAAATAAGTTATCTCAAAAATTAAAAAAATACGTTACTCTGGATGTGGTTCATTAATTGTGACAAATATACTGAGATGAGATGCTGATGCTGGGTGGTGATCAGTATATGAGAATTTCTTGTAAAACTACCTCACAGTTTTGAGTTTGTAAATTTGAAACTTTTCTGAAATAAAGTTTAAAAAAATTTTAGAAATCCGTTATTTTTTGCCAGGCATCTGCAAGAGATCCAGTCTCAAAACCTCCCCCAGTTCATCTGAATTTCTGTTTTGCTAAAGGAAATGTCAGCATCTGCTTGCCTTGCTGAAACTTTGCCCAGGAACAAATTCTATATAAATTTTAAAAGATTCGCAGGGAAATTTGCTAGGAAGAAGCAGACTGCACCATTAATATTTGTTGGGTGTGAGTTGCATAATTCAGAAAAAAACATTTAAAGAAAAGCATGCATAGCAAGAATTCCTTAATATTCAGGTAAAACATTATGTTACTAATATATTATTTTAACTGTAATTTATCCTAATTATCGTATACTCTAACATAATATATAATTATGTAATATATAACTTATTCTAAGATACTTAACTATGTGACATATAGTCTATAAAACATTAAATGTAAAGTATAAATCATGTTGTATATACTATATAACAACAGGTCCTACACACTACATATAGCACATATGATATACCGTGTAACATAAATCATGTTATACATACATGTGCATTTCCAAGTCATTGTACAGGTCTTCACACTGTGATCCTGAGTCACCAGCAATGCATTGTACACTGGCCAGTCAAGTTTCTTCAGCTTGGAAAACGTATATAATGCATGACATGTGCCGTAAAATGTACTCTATAATTAATACAGATGTGGTATAATACACTTTGCACCATATCCTATAATATACATGATATAACATAGGTTAATACAGATAAATACTGTGTGTCTGTTTATATACATGTTCTTCAAAAACCTCTTGGAAAATGTATGCTATGAAAACTAGGCATTAATTTCAATTTTTCGAACCAAAATTATCTTTAATTTCATTTTCCCAAGAACTTTTGAAGTGGTTTTGTATACTATATAATGTATAGGGTGTACACTAACATATAGAGTATTATATATTATAGCACTTTATATATAAGTAATATATAGATGATGAGTTCAAAATCATTACGATGAGGGTCTTTTCCCTGTGTCTTACCTTCTGTCACCAGTGCAGGGATGGAGTTCCTGGTGTTGAATGAGACTTGCTGCAAAGGGTGGGTGCACAGCTGCCCTGGTACTTAGAAGCCCCACGGTAGAGGATGCCGTGGCCTTTTGCTGTTCTGAGGACAAGGGAACATTCTAGAGGGACGATGGTCGGTCTAAGTCTGCTACGGGAGGCAAGAAGCCAGGTCACCGCAGACCTGCGCTGTCTCCAGTGGATCCTGTCTAGCCTCCTTTCTGATGGCTCCTTAGTCTCTGGATGTCTGTCTTGGTCCCAGCTGGTGGAGGTTTGCAGGGAGAAACGCAATGCAAGGCTCCTTCCGGACTCACCCTTTCCTCAGGCAGCTCGAGGTGCCTGAGCCTGAGGTGGGCCCTGCCATGCACAGGAGGGTGCTGACAGTTCCTGCCTGCAGGGTCTCACGTGCCAGCCTGGCTGCTCAGGGATTTACAGTGTGTGTCACTTATTAGCCTGCTGTAGAGTTCCTGGGTTATGGTGAAAATTCTCTTTGAGATGAATCAGATGCATTTAAACTATACACATTTAAACACAAAATTTTGACATGTTTCAGGAAAATCTTCCGTTGAAGTCATAACATGAGAATCCAGCAGTTATTAGTACAGAGCAGTGTAGTCAGTGGTTCTCCCAGGAGACGGAACTGCTCCAAACCAAACGAATTGGTCATAGTCTCCATAGTGCATGAGGGAAAGAAAGGGCGAGGTGTCCCCTAGCTTGCAAGACGAGGCTCCCGGGCTCCCCTCTGAGCCAAGTTTCTCAGTACCACAGGCCAGGTGTTTTCCTCAGTTCCCTCTTATTGTTTTCAGTGTCTTTTTTTTTTAATAAAGATTTATTTATTTATTTGAAAGGCAGAGTTACAGAGAGGCGGAGAGAGAGAGACAGAGAGAAGGAGGAGAGAGAGAGAAGGAGAGGAGGGAAAGAAGAAGGGAGAGAGGGAGAGAGGTCTTCCATCCACTGGATCACTCCCCAGATCGCCACAATGGCTGGTGCTGTGCCAGTCAGAAGCAAGGAGACAGGAGCCAGGAGCTTCTTTGGGTCTCCTATATGGGTGCAGGTGCCCAAGGATTTGGGCCATCTTCTACTGCTTTTCCAGGCCACAGCAGAGAGCTGGATGGGAAGTGGAGCAGCTGGGACGCGAACCGGCGCCCATATGAGATGCCAGCACTGCAGATGGCTGGCTTTACGTGCTACGCCACAAGTGCTGGCCCCTGTTTTCAGTTTCTGATGATCCAGTTGGAGCGCAGGAAAGGGATGAGCCAGGGAGTGAGAATTCCTGGAGACATCTTGACCTAAGCAACATGGTTTCTGCAGACAGACTTGGACCATGATGTGGTCAGACCTAGTCAGACCTAGTTGGCAGAACTGGAGTGGCAGAGATGATGGTCACTCAGGTGACTCCCTGGTGTGCATCAGGGGTAGCTGGCATAATCAGACACACTGCCCTTGAGAGCAGGGCTCTGCCTGCCCTGTTCCTAAAACCCCTTCTCTCCCCTGAGTACTCTCTTTGAAGTCATTGTCAAGGTTGCCCTTATTCCTTCGAGGGAGCAAGGTCCTTTCTTCAAGAAGTTTCCCCTGCAGCCTTTACCCCATGCCTTGCCCACGGGGCAAGTTCCTGGCACAGGCAAGCACTCTGGAGTGTGTGGTTGAGCCAGTGAATGAGTGACCTAACCAGACTGTGTTAAGGAAGCAGCGACCCAATTATCAGCAGAGGGCGCCACTGAGCCACATAAAGCTCCCAGTGATTTCTCACCTGCTGCCACTGGCTTCCCTCGTTGGAAGACCAAACAACTGGCTCCTAACTAACCTGAAAATGGTTTCCTGTGGCTGATCCAGGACAGGGAGAGCCTGGTAATGTCAGAAACTAACACCTGTGGCCTACGGTGGTGACTGCATGCCTACTCCTTTAGGATAATCAGGAAAGGATTATAATAGAGGGGAATTTGGTTATCACCTAATAACCCAGAGTTAATGATGATCAGTGTTTTGTGTGGTTTAGGTTTTATTTTGGTCTTTTATCCCATGTCTGTATTCATTTTTACCATTGGTGCGTTCTACAGAGCTGTCCTTGGCTTCTTTTCCCACTCACCATTGTGTTCTTGCAAACTGTTTACAGTCGTGTTCACATTGTAAATGCTAACACAGCAGTGCATCCATTGTTTAAGTTTTGTTTGGACTCTCAAGGTGGGCTGAAAGCCGTAGGTGTGTTCTAAAGGCTGTAGGCTCCCCCACAGCATCTCTGTGGGCCAACTTGGTCGGTCCTAAGGAGCAGGGGGCTCTCCCATTAGAGGCAAAGTGCTTTGCTATCAAAGTACTGCATTGTAGAGGTAGATGCAGTCCCAGTTCTCTTCAGAGCAGCCCTCGTGCTGGAAAAGGCACACTGGGCAGGGCCCCCTTCCTGAACCCATCCTGAGGGGCTGAGTAGGGAGTCAGAAAATCCTCAGGAGGTTTTGGTAGAGAAGTGAGGAAAGCCGTCATCTTCCATCCCTCTTCAATTGTCCTTTGAGGTTGTGTGTGTGTGTGTCTCCACACACAATTATCCTGAATTGTTTCAAACGCTGTGCCCTATTTTTACAATGCGAAACTACATCCCCAAAAGATCCATTACAATATGAAGTTGGCAGTCCTCTTGGGTGCATTTTCTGCATATTTGGGGAAATAGTCCTGGCCAACTAATTTCATTTATAGAAAGGGATCTTCATTAAAATATGATGTAATCCCTTGTGTAAACAGTGCTGACAGTTCTTATTTTTCTCTCTTTTTGGCATTGTTTTCTTTATATAAAATACAGTGCTTCTCTCTTCTTACGTTGCTTTCTTTTTAGAAAACATGTATCCTTTTGATATCTAAGGTTAATCACACTTAGACAAAATAAACTGTTGTGAAAATGATAAAATAATAGAGAAAGGAGTAATTTATGTTTCTTTGGAGTGCATGTGAAGTTTAAAGAATATGTAAAGGTAGCACCCAGCAGATAGAATGTGGATTGATTTAGGAAGTAGACAAGAAACACAAAGCAGCACTGTGCATAAGACTGCATTCCAGTGCCCATCTGTGTGTTCCGGGCAGAAGTGTGGCCCAGTGTGGCCGCTTCTGTGGACCTACCCTTGCCTTGTTTTGTAGTCCGAGATTCTAACCACCTCCCATTCCTTTCTCCAAAGCAAGTGCACCAGAG